CGGCGTGTGGTTGCTGGTGAGTATTTGCTTCAGGTTGGGGGGCTGTCTGTAAGCAAGGACTGCCCTGTCTCCCAAGATCTGTGAGAGTGATGGGTCGTCCTTCAGGATCACTTCTGCCTTCAGTGACTTTCTGAAGGCCGTCAGCACAGAGCAAGGGAATTGGAACAAGACTTAACCTCAATATAAAAGTGCATTTGCCACTGCAGTAGAAGTAGCAAAACAAAAATCATGAATTCTCCAGTTACTTTAATTCAAACTTCAGCTTTCTTCTAGCTATAAAATGCACTAAGGGCAACTGAATTAACTGGACAGGAAGTTCTACACAGACACAATGGGAGGGAAACCCTTGCCCAAAAGAACAATAAAAAAGGCCTGTTACCCACAACAGAAGAAATAAAGCTAAATGCTGACACAATTTGACAGAGCAAGCCAGGTTTAATTAATTGCTAGGGATTCCATCCTCTGATTGCTCCACACTATGGTGCTGTGTGTGCTACCTGACACTAGGTTGCTTAGTGCTGGTTTGTTGTCGGATCACAGTCAATTGTAGTTGTTTGAGCAGCACACACATTGGCTCTGCATAACTACCTGCGGTGTGTTTTTTTTTGCACTGCCCTAACCCCAGCTGAACAAGAGCAAATACAAACTGTAGTCTGCATTGCTTTACAATGGGGTCAGGCTAGTACAGAGCCGCACATAGTCAGTCAGTGCATAGTGTCACGCTGTCTGGAGTGGCTCACGACCGTGAGTGCCAACCTCAGGGCAGACTATCAAGAAACAGGGCATGAACCCCAGACTGATTGCACGTTACATATTTTGATTTTACCAACCAAATAACAAAGTAACAAACTCCTCAGGCCCTGAGGGAACCACAGACAGCCCCTTGTGTTACCTATCAGCTCTTGGGGAACCAGGGTGCAGTACCCAGCCTGTCTGACTCACGAAAGACGCCCCCCCCCCCCCGCAACCCCCTCTGCTTTAACCAAAACTGACCAGAAGAAAGACTTACAAAAAGCAATGAAAAGGCACTGGGAGACACACCTAAACCCCTCTGGACAAGCCTGACAAGATTAAGGAAACTCCCCTAGCCTCATTTGCATCAAAGATGGGACAGGGAGGCATCTTCATTAGCATACAGAATGGAGAACAGAGATTCCAAGGCAAGAACCGCACAGAACTCTGGCCCCAGAAAAGCAGGGAAGCACTGCATGATGGGGGATCTCTGCTCCAGATGTTAATGAATCCACCCCTGCACACACCCAGCTCAGTAGTTATCAGACCAATTCTAGTAATAAATCCTTTATTGATATCCAAAATACTGAAGCTGCCTAATTGCATTGTGAGCTCCCTCGAAGGAACACCACCCATAGGCAGGAATGATCAGTTCCTATTGTCTAGCCTGAACAAAACAACTCTGGTATACTCTCTTGAGCCATCAGTTTACTCAAACAAATCTAGTGTTCTCCCTTGAACCATTGTTCTTTCCCTACAAAACCCCTTACCTACGGCTCAAGGAAGTGCTCTGATACCTGGATGCAAAATCTGTATCAGTTCCATTGGGACTTCATCTTCTCCTGACTGATCGTGCTGGAGGCTCTGCCTGTCTCCAGCACTCCAGACCCTCAGCTACAAGATTCAAGCTTCACAGAATGGTAAGAAGCCAGCTCTCTCTCTCTCGGTATAGCCTTCTGACCCTGACTTGTGTGATCAGTTAGTTTTCTAAACTGACTTTTATAATCAAATTTGTTAGATTTAATATTATCACTGTTTTGTTTGTGTGGCTCCCCTATGGTTATTCCGTGGCAATAAATAACTTTCATGGTTAAACTGGTTGCTCTTCTCGCTCTTCTCCCCCCCCACCCCCGTGGGTGCTTTTTGGCTTCCTCATTCACTCTGCAGCAACTCACCTCGTACCTAAACTAAAGATCCCTGCAGCGCCCAAAAATCTTGTGGGGTTTGCTCATCTAGTGGGTTACGACCAGAACAATGGTAACGTGAAAGTGGGGAAAGGGACACGCTGAACCTGGGGCATATGAGGGTGGCAGCTTGGAAGTGCTGCTTGACCCGGCCTGCTCTATTTCGGTGCGGTGCCCATGGCATAGGAGGGTGACAGCATGGAGGTGCTGTTTGAGCCAGCCTGCTGAGTCCAGGGACATAGAAGGGGTCAGCTTGGGAGTGCTGATTAACACAGTCCTCTCAGACGCGCCCTGTTAATGTGTGTGTGTTTGTCTGATTCTGGGGCTGGAAGAACCCAGCCCTGGGGAATGCAGATCCTGCAGGATGGCTCCATTGGGAGGGAACGTGCAGAAGCAGAGCTCTGTATGAGAACACAAGTGACGCAAGCAGTACATTGATAGAATTACAGAGCCCCCCGCCAGAACAGTAACCCTAATAAATGAGCATACTCCAAAGTAACCAGATGTGCCTGTAACACTCAGGTACTCAAATCTATCTTGCCTCGCAGGGAAACCTGCCCGAGATAGATGGTCCCATACAGCAGAATCACAACAATATTCAGGTTTCAGAGTAACAGCCGTGTTAGTCTGTATTTGCAAAAAGAAAAGGAGGACTTGTGGCACCTTAGGGACTAACCAGTTTATTTGAGCATAAGCTTTCGTGAGCTACAGCTCACTTCAGTCCCAGTCACTTACCCCAGGTCAGTTGTATACAGATCTCAAACCAAAGACAATGCTTGTAGTCAACCATGTAACAAACTAACTAAAGGTTTATTAACTAGGAAAATGAAATGAGGTTATTTACAAGGTTAAAGCAAGTAAACACACACAAATGAGGTACAATCTTAAGTTCAAAAGGTAACAAAAGCTTCTATAAGTAAACTTTTATGTCCTTTAGGGCTAACCCAAGCCAAGCAGCTAGGGGATCTCCTTATTGTGTTTAGGAATCTTTGCCCCACAGAGTCCAGACAGCACAAAGATCCCAAATTCACCTTAACAGGCACTTTTATTCCCGTCCCCCAGCGTTCAAGCTCTCATGGGACAGGAGCTGGTGCATGTAGCCTCTTCGGGGGGGGGGGGGGTGCAATCAGCAATGTCTTTTGTCCACAGTGGTTTGTCTGATGGCTGTAGACCTTCTTTTGTTGGGGAGAACATAACACCTCTTGTGGTGAACTAGCATTTCACACTTGGTAATGCTTCTCCCCTGACTGTAGGGGATTTACAGTCTTAGCAAATGTTTTTATGGTTACCAAGGAAACATTTAAACATTACCTTACAACATGGGATACAGATATCATAAGTAGGATTAATACACGCAGCATCCTACGAGCATTCCATAAAGTCTAAATCTGTTCTTATGACTCTACTATCTATTTTAATAATACTTACACACAGGTGAGCCAGCCTGGTTTCTGGCTATGCATTTGTCAGTGTTCAGTGCTGCCTAGGGGCCTTGGCATGAGCTGGCATCCGGTCTGCATCATTGTTCCTTCTCAGATATAAACTTGATCATGCTCAAACTATAAACAGGTGCTGATTCAACCCTGAGGTAAACTTTCTTGCTAGAGCCTATGGTATTGCCAACTTCACAAACTGTTACAACTGAAACAAACTACTGATAACTGTTTAAGTTTCATGAACTGAAAATTATGTGAAATATCACAAAAATACAAGGGACAAAATATTGAGTAAAGTAACAGAAAACAACTTAATTCACTAGCCTATCATCACTATGGGTCACAGCATGAGCCCCAGCAGTGAACTTTTTGAGTCCCGCTAAAACAGGGGTTCTCAGGACAAATTTTTGGTGGCCTCAGAGTGCAGCCACCAACTCTTGCTGGTGGCCACACTCACACTCTTCCCTAAAATACTTAATTAGCTTTAGGAAAAACAAATAAATATGCACATATACACGTCCAAATCACTGTAATGTATTTATTGCTAGCTAGTAAGTCCATTGTGAAAAGTGATATTAACGAACATACAAATATCTCTTTTCACAGAAGACTTAATCAGCCCTGGCAAGCCTGGGGCAAAATTAAGCCCTGGATGGGGGGCCAGGGGAGGCATTGAGGGGCTAGAGCCGGAGCCCAGGGCCTGCTGCCATGCAGCTGGAGCCCGGGACTGGAACCCGAAACCCTGTGACCAGAGCCCGCCACCCCAGGGCTGAACCCCAAGGCCTGAGTCCCAGGGCCCCTGGGAAGGTGGGGAACTCACGGGGTGCCTGCTCTTCCAGCGTTGTGCCTCAGGTGTCTCCCAAGGGGGGCAGGGCCCAACTCCTGCTGGCAGCCCCAGAAATCAACACCAAGGAGGGGCACCCAGGAGCAACAGGGAGGGGCCGGTACTTTGCCCCCAGCCCAGGAGGCTGTGACCACAAGAAAAATCCCTGGTGGCCACATGAGGCCACGGTGGCTGCATCTGAGAAACGCTTAGGGGCCTAAATCAGTGGGGCGTGTGCTCCTAAGGCCCTTGGGTGCAGCTGGGAACCCTCTGCCCTCAACTGCCGCATGCCGGTGGGCTCGCGCCCCATCTCTGCAGCTGCCGCCGCGGGGCGCCCTGTAACCCTCCGCGGCCGCCTCGCCGCGCGGGGGCTCTGGGCTTTTCCCGGCGGGGCCGCGGCTTTGTCTGCTCCCCGAGCGCGGAGCCGCCCGCCCGGGGCAGCGACAGCCCGGCCCGCGCGCCCAGGGACACGCACCTTGCCCCGCCGGGACCCCCCCGCTCCGGGGGCGCGGGAAGGGCCCGGTCCTGCGGCTCGGGCTGGGCGCCGCCCCCGCGGCGGGATGTGCGGACCCCGCGCCGCCTCAGCCCCGGCCGCGGCTCCCCAGGCGCCCGCCACCCCCCGGCCCGGGACGCCGCGGCCGCCGCCCCCCGCGGCTCGCCCGGCCGGGGCTCGGAGCCGGGCCGTGGGCGCATGCGCGCAGGGGAGCCGCGGCCGCCGGCTCGCACAGGCCCAGACGCCGGGGACAGGCTCCGTCCCGGCTCGCGGGGGAGTTCGGCGGCCGCCGCCGGCAGCCGCAGCCGCAGCCCCGCTGGGCGCGGGGGAGGCGCCGCCCCGGCTCCGGCCGCCGGGGCCGGGCGAGCGGGGCGGGGCGATGGGCGATGGACGCCGGCGCTGGCGGGGTAAGGGACCGGAGCCGGGCGCGCTGCCCGCGGGCGGAGCGTCGCCTCCCGCGGCGGGCCACAGGCGGGGGGCCCGCCCCAGCCAGGCAGGGAGCCAGGCGCCCCCGGAGCGGGAGTCAGGCCGCGCTCCGGAGCGTGCTGCGGGGAGCCGGTGTCGCTGAGCTTCGCAGGCGGTTTCAGCGGGTTTCGAGGGGCCGGCCTCGCCGCCGGGACAGTCTTCTCGAGGACCCCGTGGCACGCCAGAGACCCCCCGCCCAGGCAGCCGGTGCCTTGGGGGCCAGCGGGGTCGAGATGAGGCGGGAAAGCGGGGTCAGGGCCGCGGTAGCAGCCCGTGTTCTGCAGGGGAGCCTCTCGCCAAAAGAAAAGAAACCCCACCCCGGTATTTTTCTTTGATCATCTTGAGTTTAGCTAGCAGGGACGTTAGTGTGTTGCTAGACATTGAAACTGCCCGGACTTCCACTCTGCCTTGATTGAAAAGTGATTTCCAGTGCGCTGAAGGCATCAGAATGTGCAGGGATGTGAACTTGTTCTTCATCAGCATCACTTCCATTATGTGGCTTGTTTCCCTGTCAAGGAAACACGGTCCGTATAACGAGTTGTTCATAAGGCCAGCGTTTGTAAAATTAAGATTCTGCTGCAAAATGTAGAGAAAAATGTAAAACGGTGTATTAACTAAGTTGTCATTCACAAACCTGTACACTTTCTCAGTAGCTGATTATGATCACTTCAGTCATTTGAGCGGTATTTGTTTAGTTAGTGTTGTGGAAAGAAACCGCTTCCTATTTGAAATGAGAAAAGGAGTACTTGTGGCGGTGCCACAAGTACTCCTTTTCTTTTTGCGAATACAGACTAACACGGCTGTTCCTCTGAAACCTATTTGAAATGCTATTTCATCACGTAGTGAAACTATGGGTCAGATCCTGAGATGGTGTATTTCACTGGAGCTGTGCTAGTTTGCACCAGCTAAGGACCTGCCCTAGTTGCACTGAAATACACCATTGATTAAAGGCATCTGAGGAACTGGCTACATATACACAGTTGCACTTTGTTGGGGCTTCTTTCTTTCTGACATCACTTACCTTTTCATATAGATTCAGAAGCCATGTCTCCTGCATTATTCATATGGCCCAAATCCTTTCCTCTATGCAGGGCCTGAGGAAATGGGCTCTATTAGGATTTCTAATGGGTCTGTTACCATAGAGTTGAGGGCTTGGTGTTAGGTAGTCCCAGGAAAATTGGGAAAGAGGGAATAAAAAGCCTATGGAGTGGCTTACTACTGCAGTCGATGGCTCTGCCGTGGCTGGGCCATCTCTGTGTATGTCTGGTGGATTGCATGATAGGACTTCGATTTCCAGTCTTGATATAGGGATTTTTTTGATAGGTTTGTGGGAACTAGCATCACACATGACTTCACTAACTGTAGTTAAGGGACCCAGTTGTTCCATTTGTAGGTACACAAACTGGGTTCTTACCAGGTGCCTATCGCTAATATCTGGGTGCCTGCAAATTGGAGACAATAGAGCAAGGAGCCCAGCAAGTAAATTAGATTTCTCCTTCCTTTCCAAGAGGTTGCTGGGTGAGGGAAGAGTGCAAGCTTTTCTTTTGTTGCTCTTGTGGCTAAAAAAATGGGTTTGCACCTAGCTCTGAATGCTGAGGTGTGTGGTCATTCCTACCTCCTCTGGAAAGGAGTGCCATATTTTTGGGCTAGTTGCTAGGAAAGCAACTCTTGAGGAATAAGGATGCAATACCTGAGTAAGAGGGGCTCTCTTACATAGCATGGGCCAGTGCAATGTAGGATCTTCAAGATGAGTGCTCTTGATAATCCCATATTACGAGAAGTGCAATGGGCCGGACGAGTTGCATCCGAGAGTGCTAAAGGAATTGGCGGCTGTGATTGCAGAGCCATTGGCCATTATCTTTGAAAACTCGTGGCGAACGGGGGAAGTCCCGGATGACTGGAAAAAGGCTAATGTAGTGCCAATCTTTAAAAAAGGGAAGAAGGAGGATCCTGGGAACTACAGGCCAGTCAGCCTCACCTCAGTCCCCGGAAAAATCATGGAGCAGGTCCTCAAAGAATCAATCCTGAAGCACTTACATGAGAGGAAAGTGATCAGGAACAGTCAGCATGGATTCACCAAGGGAAGGTCATGTCTGACTAATCTAATCGCCTTCTATGATGAGATTACTGGTTCTGTGGATGAAGGGAAAGCAGTGGATGTATTGTTTCTTGACTTTAGCAAAGCTTTTGACACGGTCTCCCATAGTATTCTTGTCAGCTAGTTAAAGAAGTATGGGCTGGATGAATGCACTATAAGGTGGGTAGAAAGTTGGCTAGATTGTCGGGCTCAACGGGTAGTGATCAATGGCTCCATGTCTAGTTGGCAGCCGGTGTCAAGTGGAGTACCCCAGGGGTCGGTCCTGGGGCCGGTTTTGTTCAATATCTTCATAAATGATCTGGAGGATGATGTGGATTGCTCCACAATTTGCGGATGATACTAAACTGGGAGGAGTGGTAGATACGCTGGAGGGCAGGGATAGGATACAGAGGGACCTAGACAAATTGGAGGATTGGGCCAAAAAAAATCTGATGAGGTTCAATAAGGGTAAGTGCAGAGTCCTGCACTTAGGACGGAAGAACCCAATGCACAGCTACAGACTAGGGACCGAATGGCTAGGCAGCAGTTCTGCGGAAAAGGACCTAGGGGTGACAGTGGACGAGAAGCTGGATATGGGTCAGCAGTGTGCCCTTGTTGCCAAGAAGGCCAATGGCATTTTGGGATGTATAAGTAGGGGCATAGCGAGCAGATCGAGGGACGTGATCGTTCCCCTCTATTCGACATTGGTGAGGCCTCATCTGGAGTACTGTGTCCAGTTTTGGGCCCCACACTACAAGAAGGATGTGGATAAATTGGAGAGAGTCCAGCGAAGGGCAACAAAAATGATTAGGGGTCTGGAACACATGAGTTATGAGGAGAGGCTGAGGGAACTGGGATTGTTTAGTCTGCAGAAGAGAAGAATGAGGGGAGATTTGATAGCTGCTTTCAACTACCTGAGAGGTGGTTCCAGAGAGGATAGAAAAGGAGTACTTGTGGCACCTTAGAGACTAACCAATTTATTTGAGCATGAGCTTTCGTGAGCTACAGCTCACTTCATCAGATGTATACCGTGGAAACTGCAGCAGACTTTATATACACACAGAGAATATGAAACAATACCTCCTCCCACCCCACTGTCCTGCTGGTAATAGCTTATCTAAAGTGATCAACAGGTGGGCCATTTCCAGCACAAATCCAGGTTTTCTCACCCTCCAACCCCCCCACACAAATTCACTCTCCTGCTGGTGCTAGCCCATCCAAAGTGACAACTCTTTACATAATCAAGTCGGGCTATTTCCTGCATAGATCCAGGTTTTCTCAGTGGTAGAAGACGACAGGACAAGGAGTAATGGTCTCAAGTTGCAGGGGGGGAGGTTTAGGTTGGATATTAGGAAAAACTTTTTCACTAGGAGGGTGGTGAAACACTGGAATACGTTACCTAGGGAGGTGGTAGAATCTCCTTCCTTAGAAGTTTTTAAGGCTTGACAAAGCCCTGGCTGGGATGATTTAATTGGGGATTGGTCCTGCTTTGAGCAGGGGGTTGGACTCGATGACCTCCTGAGGTCCCTTCCAACCCTGATATTCTATGATTCTATGATACTGTTGGCAGCTAGGGTTGTTGCCAGGGTCTGGATCTTTAAGGTCAATGTGCTTATTCCCAAGCACAGGGAGTTGCAGTGGTCAGCCTGGAAGCCACAAAGGTGTGAATCACACCTGGCCAGGCCAGGTCTGATGGTGCAGGATGCAGCTGCCCTTTCACCAATGGAGGGAAGGCACTTTGGCAGCCCTGGCTGATGAGGTGAGATCAGTACAGGTTACTGTTTGAATGGGAAAAAGCTTCCAGTTCTATAAAAGGGTATGGGACCGGAGAGCCAGTGATGGGTTTTAAGCTGAGCGTGCATGGTTATGGAGTAGTATTGATGGTCAGGAGTAGGCCAAGTTGATGGTAAAGGGGAGTTAAAGGCCATCCCGTGCATAACTGACTACATGTTAGGGCCCTGACTGGAGGGGTACCTGAATGGCTCCCAGCTCTGGAGGCTGTGTGCTGCTAGGTTGGTGAACTGAGGATCCGTGGGAGGTATTGGAGTGGTATCTAGCTGACTACCGAGGTCTTGAGTTGACATTGCCTCACGAGTCCATCATCAGAAGGCTTACACAAGTTAAGAGCAAAGATGCTATTTGTACTCTGCTAATATGTGGCTACAAAACCAAGTAATCAGAATGTATAAACACCATCTGATTAGGGGATTAAGTGATCAGGCATGCATATCTGGTCTCTGGGACATTTGACCTGGTTTCTCAGGAAAGTTACATTGATGAATCAGATATCTAACAGAATATCTAATCTGATCTGGTAATGAACATGGTTCTCTCCTTCCTTTTTACTATCAAATGCACAGCTGAAGTGTTGGCTTATCTTCAGATAACAGCAGCTCATAAATACGTCATTGAGGTAATAATTGTATCTCTCCACACTGAACAACAAATGCCAGGATTAATAGTAAGAGTCTCTTAGGCTCAGGATATGGTTTTATTCTAGTTAACAGAAAGAACGTTCAGGTTTCTTTATTCAAGTGACTATTTCCAAAACCAGCCAGGACACTGCTTTGGAAACTCTTTTTTAGAGTCACAAAATACCAGGTTAGCTTCAGATCTGTTTTCCACAAGCCCCGGTTGATTGGCATTGATTATATTACCCTCATGTTGCATGGTCTTTCACTGGCTGCCATGAACCTGGGCTTCCCAAACTGCACAGAGGTCCCTGGGGAGTGAGGATTATCAGAGTCATGGAGACAGGTGGACTCTAGCCAAAATGGACTGCACTATTGTGATCTTTCCAAATGTTACACTGTGATGTTGGCTGTTCCACTCCTGACCCCGATAACTCCTCCTGGGGTGCTGGAA